GCTCTTGAACTAACCCAGTCTACTAAAGAGGCAGATGAGAGAAAAGGCAGAAAATTTGTCCAGAGAATTATGGGACTTCATGAAGCATTCAAACATACAAATTATAGGTATTGACAAAGGGGAAGAAGAATGTCCCAATAAAATGGAAGCCCTAGTGGAGGATTTCATAAATGACAATTCCCCAAGTTTCAATGGCACAAGCCATTCATATGCTGTCTTCAGGAAATACATCTAACCTTGAAGGAAAAAACAGGCTCAGGGTAAAGGGATGAAAAACAGTATTTCAGACAAATGGAAATCAGAAGAAAGGAAGGGTTGGAATCCTATTTTCAGATACAAGTGTTTTTAAAGCAACTAAAGAAAGATACACAAGGTCATTTCATTCTGGTCAAGGGACTAATACAACAAGAGGACATTTCAATTCTAAGTATTTATGCACCCACCTTAAATGTTCCCACATTTATAAAACAGACATTGATTGGTCTGAGAAATATGATTTCACACAACATCATAATAGCTGGGGAATTGAACACAGCTCTGACAGAACTGGACAGATCTATTAAACAAAAATACAAAGGACTTAAATGCAATGATAGAACAAATGGGTTCAATCGAGATATACAGAACACACCATCTGAAAGCTAAAGAATATATGTTATTTTTGTCAGCCCACAGAACATGCTCCAAAACAGATCATATCCCAAGATACAAACCAAACCTCAAAAAAATTAAAAGAATTGAAATTATATCTTGTACCTTCTTAGAACACAAGAGAATAAAGGTGGAACCCAACTCCAACAAAAATTTTCATCCCCACACAAGGACATGAAAATTAAACTACTGCTGAATGAATCAAGTCAAGTAGGAAATAAAGAAGGAAATTGTTAAATTCCTTAAACATAATGACAATGAAACTACAAGTTACCAAAACCTGTGGGAAACTGCAAAAGCAGTCCTAAGGGGAAAATTTATCACATTAGATGCAGAAAAAGCATTTGATAAAAATCAGCATCTTCTTCTAATAAGAACAATTAAGAAAACAGACAAAGGTGGTACGTTTCTTAAAATGATTGAAGCTATCCATAGCAAAACCACAGCTAATATCCTACTGAAGGTAGGAACACTAAAAGCTTTTCCACTTAGAACCAGAACCAGAAAAGGATGTCTTCTATCACCACTACTATTCAACATAGTTCTGGAAGTTCTAGCTAATGCAATCAGGCAAGAGAAGGATATAAAGTGCATCCAAATGGGAGCAGAGGAGGTCAAACTCTCGCTCTTTGCCAATGATATGATCTTAGAGAACCCCAGAGACTCAACCACAAGACTCCTGGAACTAAACAAGAACAATAGTAACATCTCAGGGTATAAAATCAATGTCCACAAATCAGTAGCCTTTGCATATGCCAACAACAGCCAAGTTGAGAAGGTAATCAAAGACACAATTCCCTTCACAGTAGCTTCAAAGAAAATGAAATAGCTAGGGATTTACCTAACAAAAGAGGGGAATGACCTCTACAAAGAGAATTATGAAACCCTAAGAAAAGAAATAACAGAAGATATTAACAAATGGAAGAGCATACCATGCTCCTGGCTGGGAAGAATCAACATTGTTAAAATGTCTATGCTAGCCAAAGTAATCTACCAATTCACAATTCCCATTAAAGTACCAACATCATACTTTGAAGAACTGGAAAAAATAGTTCTTTGTTTCGTATGGAACCAGACAAAAAATCATTTAGCTAAGGCAATTGTTAGTAATAAAAACAAAGCCAGAGGCATCATGCTATCAGACTTTAGACTATATTACAAGTCCACAGTAATCAAAACAGTATGGTATTGTCATAAAAATAGAGACAGAGACATATGGAACAGAATAGAAAACTAAGAGATAAAGCCAGTCTTTTATAGCCATCTGATCTTTCATAACCCAAATAAAAACAAACACTGTTTGGCTGGGTGGTGCCTATGGTTCAGTGGGCAGGGCGCCAGCCCCATATACTGAGGGTGGTGGGTTCAAACCCAGCCCTGGCCAAACTGCAACAACAACAATAAACAAATAGCCAGGCATTGTGGCTGGTGCCTGTAGTCCCAGCTACCCGGGAGGCAGAGCAAGGGAATTGCTGAAGCCCAGGAGTTGGAGGTTGCTGTGACCTGTGTGATGCCATGGCACTCTACTGTGGGAGATAAAGTAAAACTCTGTCTCTATCAAAAAAAGAAGAAGAAGAAATAGTGCTGGAAGAAGTGGATAATCACGTTAACAGTTTGAAACTGGACCTGCATGTTTCACCACTTACAAAAATTGACTCAAGATGGATAAAAGATTTAAATCTAACACATGAAATGATAAAAAATCATGGAAGAAAGCCTGGGTAAAACTCTTGAGAATATCAGCCTGGGGTAAGATTCTATGATGAAGACTTTTGTGGCAACTGCAACAAAAAAATAAACAAGTGGGACTTAATGAAGTTGAAAAGCTTTTGCACAGATAAGGACACGACAATTAAAGCAAACAGACAACCTTTAGAATGGGAAAAAATATTGCATGTTACAAATCTGACAAAGGCTTGATAATTAGGATCTATATAGAATTCAAAACAAAAAAGGAGTAAACAATCCTATCTCTCACTGAGCAAGAGACATGAACAGAACTTTCTCTGAGGGAACACCGAGGAATGGCTAATAAACATATGAAAAAATGCTCATTGTCTCTAATCATTAGAGAAATGCAAACAAAAACCACCCTGAGATATCACCTAACACCAGTTAAGGTTAGCCCACATAACAATGTTCCAAAGTTGTGGATGCTTGTGTGAGTGTGGAGAGAGGAACACTTTTACACTGTTGGTGAGACTGCAAACTAATACAGCCTCTTTGTAAATAAGTATGGAGACTCCTCAAAAAACTCAAATTAGACCTCCAGTTTGACCCCACAGTCCTACTACTAGGCATCTACCCAGAAGAAAAAAAAATCCTTTTATTACAAGGACATTTGCACTAGTTTGTTCATCTCAGCTCTGTTTACAATTGCCAAGATGTGGAAACAACCTAAATGCCCATCAACTTAGGAATGCATTAACAAACTGTTATATATGTATACCACAGAATACTATTTAGCCATAAAAAATGATGGAGACTTAACCTGTATTGACATGGATGAGTTGAAAAAATTCTTCTTAGTAAAGTATCACAAGAATGGAAAAGCAAATATCCAATGTACTCAATACTAATATAAAGCCAATAAATGATCTAATACATGCCCACACAGAAGTAAAACTCTATGCAATTCAAGTTAGGGGAAGGAGGAATGGAGGGGAAATGGGGAAGGGGGAATTGGTTTGCTCTCACTTAATGAGCACAATGTAAGGGTTTAAGGCACACCTTTTTGGTGTGGGACACAACTATAAGATGAACTCTACCTAACAAATTCAAATATTATGAACTGTTTGTATCCTCATATTAAGCTGAAATTTTTAAAAAAGAGTATCAAAAGACTGAATCAACTCCAAATAGTAAACGGGTACAGGATGAATAACAAGAAAATCAAAGGTCAGGTGTGGTGGCTCACTCTGTAATCCTAGCACTCTGGGAGGCTGAGGCAGATGGACTGCCTGAGCTCACGAGTTGGAGATAAGCCTGAGCAAGTGTGAGACCTCATCTCTAAAAATAACTTGCTGTTGTGGC